GGGAGCAGCGGGCTGCAGGAGAGGTCTGCGTGCCATGTGGGACCCTCCCTGGCGGCTGGGGATCGAACCGGCGCTGCAGAGGCTGCAGGCAGCTTTGCAGCCCAGCGCTCAACCGTTGAGCCACAGGGGAGGCCCTTACTTAATAGTCTTAATACTATTATTTTATGCTTATAAATACTTTGCTTGTGATACTAAAAATAAGGTCTATGGCTTCATGGAACCTTCTGCAAATGGGGCTCTGTTGATTCAGCAAGGTGACAATCTTTTGTTGTGGTTTGCCTTGGGAGACCATGGTGAGGGTTGCCTAAGATTGTACCCCTCACCCCACTTTCTTGATGGGATGGGGCCACCAAGACACTCCATTGAAATCGTGATTTAAACTACATTTGCCCCTTGAACAACTTGGGGCCCAGGGGTGCTGATCTGCCTCTCTCCCACCCAGTCAGAATCTACATGCAACTTTTGACTTACCCAAAACTGAATTCCTGGTAGCCTGCCGTTGACCTGAAGCCTTACACAACCAGTTAACAACTACAGAAACAGGAAACAAAATACGTATTTTGTATGTTACTTGCATCATTCACTATTCTTATAATGAAGGAAACTGGAGAGTGGAAAATGTTAAAAAACCCTTAGGAAGAGGGGATCCTGGCTGCTGGAGTGCTGGACTGTATTTATTGACACCACAGGCTTCTTATGTTAATGGTTTACAAGAAAATCCTGTACCTTATAGTTTTGTGATCATGAACCCTGGTGGTTCAACCCAGTGTCGTTCAAGGGTCAATTGTGTAATTAAGAGCCTGTTTCAAACATGAAAATATATGACTTTTGGAATAGCCTCAGAGAGTCAGGAATAAAGGAAATGCTATTTAATAGTAATGACAGTGTCCATGTGGGGAGACTAGGGTGACTATTTCTGTGTCCAATATCATTTTATCTGGGGCTCTCAAATTTAGTACCTTTTTTTTTTCCTGATAATCTTTATTTCTGACCTAAGATTATGCTCAGTTTCCTAGGCTATAAGCAGCAGAACTCTCCCGCCCATTTGGGGGATCTTCCCCTAGGGGACTGGAAGGGGCTGTGCTTCTAGAACATTCCTCCTCAGTGGCTGGGGTAGCGGGAGGGCGATCCCAGGACAGAGGGCAGCTGGGTCCTGCAGGCGCCCTGGAGAGGTCCCTGTGTCACCCTCTGGCAGAAATTCTTTCTGTGAACCTGGAGTCCTTAAGGAGAGATTGGATGGCAGGGTTGGCAGGGTTGGCAAAGGCGGATACCCTTTGGCCTGTTTCTGAAGGGCAAGTTTGCAATATATATTAAAACTTCAGAATCTTTCCTTTCATCCAGAAATACTGCTTCTAAGAATGTCTCCTGAGAAATTAAAGAATTATATGCACACAGCCTTAGCTCCAGGGATTTTCACGGCAGATTTTACTATGGAGAAAAATGGAAACAATGTCAGTGTCCAAGAGTGGGGATTCCTTAAATAACTGGGATTCTGCCCCAGGTCTGAGAGAATGAGCCACGACCCTTGACATTTTTTGGCCCGCGATGCTTTTACTGATGTGGAGAGATGTTGCTGCTACTTCCGTGACCTAAACATAGAGCAAACAATCCTATTTTGGTTTAAAGAAAAATGCGGGTGTGCACACACATTTGTGATTGTCTGCCTGCACTGGGAGGTTTTTTTTTTTGCCTCTATGTTCTTGGATGTTTTTTCTGTAATAATTAGGAACTTGTGGAATTATGTAAAATGGAAATGATGGCATCATGTACAACTCGCCATATTTATAAGTCAGGGAGTGTAGAGTTCTTGAGACATGCTCCAGAGAAGTTCACATAGGGTTTATGTTGACTGTTTACAAGAAGCAGGGGACATCTTGTAATTTTGTAATCGTGAACCTGGGTCGTTCCACCCTGTATCATTCAGGGCCAATTGTGTAATTAAAAACCTGTTTCAGGGGCCTCCCTGGTGGTGCAAAGGATTAGGTCTCAGCACTGTGAAGCTATCATCAGCCACTGCAGCATGAGTTCAATCCCCAGCCAGGGAGCAACCCACATGCACAGCAGACCTCTCCTGTCTCCCCGCTGCTCCCCTCAGCAGTGTATTTCAGTAGACCCACCTGTTCTGCTCCCCACTCTGTCTCTGGTGAATCCTCTCACCCACCCCCCAACCCCTCCCACCTCTGCCCTGCACCGCAGCTCTTGTATGCATCAATAAATAAAATAAATCTTAAAAAAAAAAACTGTTTCAAACATGAAAATATACGACATTTGGAATAGACTCAGAGAATCGGGAATAAAGGTGATGCTATTTAATAGTAATGTCAGTGTGGGTGCTCAGCAGCTGGGGTCACATGTTGCCAAACATTTAAACTGCCGAGCAGGCGGGGGATGGAGGTCGTGTTGCCGGCCAACTGCCTTATCGGAAAACCTGACAGTCTCAGCGGCTTCTCAATGGAATCTGCCTGGGTTCAGGCTACCTCTCTTCTCTTTAAAGTTAAATTGTTATGAAACATTTTACTCTGTGACCTATTTCAAAGAATGCCAGGGTTTTAAATAGCTTTGCTGTGCTCACAAGATTTGTGAGTTGATCTGATCTGCGGCAATGTGGATGTCAGTGTTCGGACGCGGGTGGTGTTCGGTATTCTTTAAAGCTTAAAAATCCTATTCATGATTTCATATTTTGCGAGGTCAGTTAGCAGTTGGCATAAGCAGGTGGGGTTTCCCGGAGTCTCCCCTTGGTCACTGAGACACTGCATTCTGATTACGGAGCTGGCACAAGCCGGATGGGCCTCCGTGGAGTCCCGTAGACCAGCTCCGTGGCCCCGCCCGTGGCAGGGGGCTGGCAGAGACTCGCTTTATGTTAACTCTGGGTCACAAGTTCTTATTCTGGGTTGAATTTTCGGATGTCACTGAGTCCGTGTGTGTGAGGAGGTGAACCTGTGCCGAGGTGATTTCCCTTTGTTTCAAGGTGTCTTCGCTCAGATGCTACAACAAAATACCCCAACATGGGCAGCGTAGCGATGACAGGAAGCTATTCCCACAGTTCCGGAGGCCAGAGATCTGAAGTCGGGGCGCCATCATGGTGAGGGCCCCCTTCTTGGTGCAGTCACCTTCCACCATGGCCTCACTGGAGGAAGCGTGATGGGGCAAGTCTACCTTTGAAAGCTACCAGCCCCAACAAGTCTCGGCCTCCACGGCTCTCTCACCCTGACTTGACTGCTATCTCTGCTGGCCCCACATCTCGAGGAGTCCCCTGGGGTGTCTCTTTCTGATACGGATCGTGTGAGTTTTCTCTGACACCAAATACTTGTTTCTCCAGGCCTGGGGCACCTGCAGGTGTCCAGCCATACAGATCTGACACTAACCAGTTAGTGCAGCTCCCGCAGGTTCAGAGCTCAGTCCCACAAAACCACCCTCACTGCAGATGACCCAGCGGCCACCTGCTGACCAGCTGGCTCCCCTATCTCCTTCCCAGGTTCCGTAACTCACTGGGATGACTCGGAGAACTTAGGGAAATTATTTCTGGCTTATTATGAAGGATACAACATCACAAGGAACATCCACTGCAGAGCTGCAGGAGCAAAGTCTGGGGAAGGGACACGAGGCGCCCATGTCCGCTCGGGGTGTGCTGTCTTCCCAGCTCTTGATCCACTCCTGTTGTCGAGTGGACCTGGTTTGCTCTGGCATTAAATCCTTGGCTGTTGGTGACTGAGCTCCGTCTCTGACCCCGTCCCTCCTCTGGGGGTGGGGTTGCGGGGGGTCGTCGCTGAGCACTGGGCTCACGGCCCGATGTGCACGACAGTCGATACTATGGCATTGACTTTCGAGAAAAGAAAGTTTTATTGCAAAGTCCACTGGCGAGAAGATAGACAAACTTCAGCTCTGTGCCCACCCCACCCCCCAGGGCTGGTCTAAAGTGGGTGGAGGCCATTATAGGATGGAGGTCGAGAGAAGGAAATGAAAGTTAAAAATGAGGAAGTTTTGGAACTTGACAGGGTCTGATTAGCCAGGCACAGGTGGGCCCAGCGTGCCCGCGGGTGGCGCGTGCTTCTGCCAGCTCTTGTGTGGCTGGGGTCGCCTCCCTCCCCTGGTCAGGTGAGCAGGCTCCAGCAGCAGCCGCGGGGTGTGGGGGCGGGGGGCAAATCCGAGTTCAGAACCATTTCTGCAAAAACAAGCCTTACGGGAACGTTAGGCGTGTCTTCTGTGGCCTACGAAAGTGATGTCAAGATGACCCCTGTTTTGGGGGGACTCAAAGATCTCCCTGTCTACCGTGCGGGTGGTTTTTCTAGAGACTCACCCCCATCCTGAAGCTACGTGGTTCTCGCACTCCCTGCCCGCAGGTCATCCTACTCACTTGTTTTAGGGCTTTAGCTCTGTGCTAGGAGCCAGGGACAGAGACCAAATACCTGTTTTTTACTTCACTGCATCTACGGCGGGTCCGCTGCTTCCATCCTTGGTCTCCAAGGCACGGCGTGGCTCTTCCTCCTCCTCCTTGCTCGCTCCTCTCCAACTCTGGCTTCCTTGCACCGGCCTCCACCTGACGGCCCCTCCTTGTTCCCTGGGTTTCTTCCCGCAGCACCTCCCAGCTCACCCGTGGCCCCGTCTCCGCGAGCCCACCTTTACGATCTGGCCCGGAACCGCGTCGCCTGCGCCCGCCAGCTCCCGTGCCCTCGTCCGCAGGCTCAGGCCCCCTCTGGCCCGTCTGTGTGGGGCTGCAGCTCACGCTGTCTCCTCCCGCTGGAAGACAGGCTCCGAGGGGCAGGGTCCTTGCCCCGGGTGTTCCCGGCGTGCCTCCTTCTTCATCATCCGTGCTCGGTGAACGCTCGGGGCTGCGTGATAAGCTGGCTGGCTTGGCACTCTCACCGAGGCCAGGCCTCGGAGTCCTCTGTTCTCCCACCTCTGTGCCACTCAGCCTTCTGGGAGGGCCGCGGGTGCATCAGGGTCTGTGGGGTGACGCGCGGCTGCCGCCCTTCTGACCAGCTTCCCCTCTTCGTTTTTAGACTGGCCTGATCGTTGCCTGCTACCACGGCTTTATGGACACCGTGGTGGTCTTAGCAGAGTGCCCCCATGTTGACATCAACTGGCAGGACAGCGAGGGGAACACGGCCCTCATCACAGCCGCTCAGGCAGGTAAGACCTTCCCCCCAGCCCAGAGCTACTCAGGGGGCAGCTGGCAGGTGGGGGGCGCGGGGGCTCTGCATGAACTCGGGGCTGCCAGGAGCAAGCGCGGACACAGATCTGCAGCCGGATGTGCGGTTAATACTGAGCCCAGGCGGAGCTGAGGGCACAGTCTCTCGTGCCTGTGGCCTGCACAGCTTGCCCGCTGGTGCGCAGCTCAGCCCTGGCTGGACCTAACTCTGAAACTGCCCCAAGTCTTTGAACATGGAGCTGCACAGACACCAGCCTCATGTCACCCGGGGCCCCAACCTCCCCCTGACCCCCGACCCCCGCCTCCGCCGGTGCTTGGACTCAGCAGGGAAGCTGGGGAGCTCGTCGTGGGAGAGGCTGGTAGTGGAAATGGCCAGCGCGCAAGAGTGGGCACGCTGACAAGGTCACCTTGCAGTTTGCCCCGGGGTGTAAAGAAAAGCCAGGGCCACTGGCTGGGGTGCATCGGGGCAGCAGGTGAGCCTGGGGGTGTGATGCTTGCAAGCATCCCGGGTGCTGACGCTCATCGCCAAGTGCGCGAGCTGCTCCTCTGAGAGTTTCTCAGGACATGTATTGAGGCAAACGTGACCGCTCCGCCTGTCCCTTCAGGACCTCACTTCATTGCCACCGGGGTGCTGCTAGCAACCAAACTCACAAAATTAGAGATGGAATTGGTTTTATTGAAGGATGCGTGAGTCAGGCGGCTTCAGTGGAGATGCAGGGCTCACACAAGATGGAGGGTGTTCTCAGACAGAAGGAGGTGGGACAAGGTCATTGGCAAACGGAAAGAGCATTTCAGGTGAGGCCACCTTCCCTGGGGCGGCCGGGGGCCTCGGAGCTGCCGGCCTGTGTGCTGACCTGCGACTCCGGCTGGCCTGGCTTGGGAGGACACACTGGGAGAGGCTGAAATCGCAGTGAGATCAGGTATTAAGTTTGGGCGGGGTCCAGCGTCAACAGCCCCATTTGGGGCCACTTTTTCCTGTTTTTAACAGCATGAGCCAGGTTTATAGCTGGCCATGCTCACAGCTCTTGGCATCTCAGATGCATCTATGGCACCCCCGCAGGCCGAGTCAGGAGAATAGGCCTTTGTTTGTGAAAGGAACATGGGGCAGCTACTGTGTCGGGGTCGTCGAGGCCTGGGGTTGGGCCAGAAGCTGGAGAAAGCCCCCAAGCCACACTGCGTGTGGAGGCTGGAAAGGGCTAACCTGTCCTCGCATCCCGCCCCCCAAGCTCCTGTGTCCAAGTCCGCGTGGGTGAACCTGACCGCCTGGGGAGGCGGGCAGAGCCAGCGTCTACCCCTGTCAAGGGAAGCGATCTGTGTACACGCTTTTTCATCCAGACGTGTAAGGTGGAGGCCTCCCCAAACTTGGGATGGGGCCGGGGCTGTGCTGCTCAGGCCACCGCCAAGGCTCCAGTTGTGGAGCTTTGCCTCCATGGAGACTCTCCAGGCTTGAGAAGTCCTGGCCACCGCTTCTGAGCTGCCAGCGTGTAAGAGGAGGCTCAGTGGCTTCAGGCTCAGCTCATTGCTACCACCTGCTGGCCAGAAACTGGGTCGGGGGCCAGGGGTGCAGAAGCAAAAGGCAGTTGTGCCCTTGAGTAATTCTCCAGCTAATGGGACCGAGAAACAGACACGAAGGCCTGTTCTCAGGCAGAGAACACCCCCTCTTGCCTGGTGGGTTAGGACAGGGGTCGCGGAGGAGGGGCCACGAGGGGTCAGGCCGCCAGGTTGCTGTAGGACTGCAGTACCCAGCCGGGGGAGCTGGGACCTGGCCAGAAGCATTTAGATGCGATGCAGGAAAATGCATTTGGGCTGCGTGCGGCTGGGCATGTGACAACAGGCCGGATGGTCCCAGTGGGTCAGGAGGCAGGCAGGAGGGAGCGAGAGCGACGTGGCAGAAAGTACGGGTGAAAGATTGGTCCTTGGAGGAGCCCCATTTGGTCCTCGGACCTTTGCAGTGCTGAGCCGCCTCAGCAGAGGCCTTGGGGACAGGTCGGGAGTGTGGCGTTCCTGGGCCAGTCCTGCTAACACGGGCGTGTCAGGAGTCCCGGGGAACACGGCATCTCACAGTGTGAGACTCTTGGGGTGGTTTGAAGAGCCCTCTGCGTGCTGGGTCATTGCTGTGAATCAGTCCCCGCGTGGAACTTCTCAATTCTTGCCTGTTTGAAAATGTGTTTATTTGGCATAAACAGGAATAGCCACTTTGTCTGTTTGCATTTGCTTTTTCCACTTTCTCGTTGGAATCTAGTAATCTGTCTTGATGTTTTGGGGTGCCGTTACCAACGAAACAGGGCTTGCTTCTCCCCCATTCGGTTGGGTGGGTTGGAAAGGTTGCCGCGTGAAGTCGGGCTTCTTCTCCGGAACAATCCAGACCTTTCCCTCCCGATTCCAGGATGGCCCAGCGGCCCAGGCACCCTGGCTTCACACTCCACTTGGCTGTGTCCCCACGGAGGAGCCAATCCCTGCCCGGGTCCCATTCTCCAAGACAGGAAAACATTTCCAGAAGCCTCCAGCAGTTTTGTTTACCTCTCTCTGCTAGGCTTCGTCACATGCCCGCACGCAGGCAGAGGGCAGCGTGGCCCCAGCTGCTCAGCTGGTCAGCTCTGGCCTCAGCAGCATCTGGCTGGGAAGGACAGTCGCCAGCAAACGTGTTTATATTCTTTGCTGCTCCAGCAGCTTGGGAAGCCCGAGAGTGGCGAGTCCTGGTTCTCTACCTGGCGTTTCTACAGGAGTCAGCATTTGTAAATTAATGAATAACTTCAATAATTAACAGTTTCAATGATTAATAAATTGGGGTGCAGCTGTCTTGAGCTGCCTGCTGGGTATTTTCTAAGTCTAACTTCTTCAAATATTAATGCACAATAAAAATACAGTTCAATCCACCTTAGGCTTCTGTGCTGGAAAGAATGGATGAAAGTAAGTCCTCACATCTCTTCAGACTGTAATTTCAACTTTCGCCATAGCGGCCGCCCCCCAAATAGAATATAGAATAAAATACCAAAGAAACAAAGCACGAGTTCCAGGACGGAGCTCTGTGTTAGCCTCTGGTGGCTCTTTGAGAGAGTGGAGGGAGCTAGGTAGGAAAATGGCGCCTTCTCTGAACTTGGTGATAACGTAGTTGTTGGAACTGGGCTGGGTCTGGGTGACCTCTGGTTCATCCTTGAAACTTGAGACTCCTTGAATTCATTTTTAAAATGCTGCAGGGATTGCCCCGGGAGCCAGGCTGGCTTGGTTGATGCTGCTGGCTGCAGGGACACAGGGTGGCGACAGGCTCCTGGGGTGCTGCTGCAGGCTCTCCTGCCAGGCCCAGCTGGGGGGGAGTTGGGCCCCACCCTAGAGGCGAATGGACAGCTTGGCCAGAAGCCAGAAGCAGCGCCTCTTCACTGTTTCTCTCTCTCTCTCTTTTAAAAGCTTTTCTTTCTTTCTTTTTAAAAATATTTATTTATTTGCATTTCCCTGATTACAAGTGATGTTGAACATTTCTTCATATGCCTGTTGGCCATTCGCATTTCCTCTTCAGAGAAGTTTCTTTTTAGCTCTTCTGCCCATTTTTTGACTGGATTATTTTCTTTGTTGTTGTTGAGCCTCATCAGCTCTTTGCAGATTTTTGTGATCAGTCCTTTATCATTAGTGTTGGGTGCAAAAATGTTCTCCCAGTTGGTGGGGTTTCTCTTTGTTTTTGTTATTGTCTCTTTTGCTGTGCAGAAGCTCTTTAATTTGATGTAGTCCCAGCTGTTTATCTTTGCCTTCACTATCACTGTTTTCTTTAATCCATGTTGAGTTGATTTTTGTGTATGGTGTGAGGTAGTGGTCAAGCTTCATTCTTTTGCATGTAGCGGCCCAGTTTTCCCAGCACCATTTAATGAACAAACTTTCTTTGCTCCAATGCATAGTCTTTGCTCCTTTGTCAAAGATTAGTTGAACATAAATCTGTGGGTTTATTTCTGGATTTTCTATTCGATTCCATTGGTCTGTATGTCTGTTCTTGTTCCAATACCATGCAGTTTTGATGATTATGGCTTTGTAGTAGAGTTTGAAGTCTGGGAGTGTGATGCCTCCATTCCCTTCTTTTTTTTTCAGGAGAGCTTTGGCTATTCGGGGTTTTTTTGTGATTCCATATGAATTTCATCATTAATTGTTCTATTTCTTTGAGATACCATCTTACACCAGTGAGAATGGCACATATTAAAAAAACTAGCAACAACAAATGTTGGCAAGGGTGTGGAGAAAAAGGAACTCTCCTGCACTGCTGGTGGGAGTGCAAACTGGTCCAACCACTATGGAGAGCTGTGTGGAGATTTCTGGACCTACTAAACATCGAGCTTCCATAGGATCCAGCAATTCCACTCCTAGGTATTTACCCAAAGGACACAGAAACATCCATTCCAAAGGGCACCTGCACCCCTATGTTTATAGCAGCACTGTTTACAATAGCTAAGCTTTGGAAACAACCCAAATGCCCAAAAATAGATGACTGGATCAAGAAGATGTGGTCCATATACACCATGGAATATTACTCAGCATTCAAAAAAGATAAACACATGCAATTTGCAGCAACATGGATGGCGCTGGAAGGGATCATGCTCAGTGAAATAAGCCAGAAAGAAAAAGAAAAATACCAGATGGTCTCACTCATAGCAGGAATCTAGAAAACTTAAATAAGGGACCAGGAAAATGAATAACTATAAGAAAGTGAAAATCAAAATCAACAAAAAAACTATGAACTAGAGACACTTTTTGGGGGGTAGGGGGGTGGGAGGGGAGGGAATGGGGTCAGAATGGGGGGGTTGCAATTGTATGGGGAATATAAAAATAAAATTTATTATTTAAAAAAAAAAAAAGGACATACAAAAAAAGTCCTGCATTTTTCATGGCTACAGTATAAATATTAATTGTTCAGTTAATATTAAATGGGCCATGAATATATTAATTTTCTAAATGAAAAAAAAATTATTTATTTATGCATACAAAGCCGGGGTACAGGCCA